GTGTACATAATTTCGCTCCACCACATGTACCACATGAGGTGCGAATGACAATAAAGAAACTCTGACTCTGATATAATACATATATACACACATACAGTATATATATATATATATATATATATGGCATTTTAAACCCTTCCCACACTCTTGCAATATTCTAAACAATGTGTCTAAACTGTAAACGCTCTTAAAGAGCACAGAATATCATGATTTTATTATGATTTCAGCTCTCTGCCTCGTCTGCTCTCTACAACCTGCCAGTGCTCTCGGCCACGCCCACTTCTCCGCTGCAGAGCGGAGATATGACATGCTGCAAGCTGTGGGCTGCACACACGTGCAGCAGGTGCTAAATAATTTTAAGTAATTTATTTTAAATAAAAGCTGCATGCCGATCGTGCAGCTCATCCATCAATCAGCCAATTGTGTGTCATGTCCAATCTTATTTTGAAAAACCGCAATAGAGCGAGTCCACGAAAAATGAGACACTACTGTACCCAGAATAGTTCTGACTGAAAGAGTAACTTCAAGACAAATAGTAAATTTACAGAGTTTATTTACAAATGTGAATAAAGGTACACAGTAGAACTGGGACTGGAACCCTGTTAGAAGGGGAATAGGTCTGCAGGTGGTTCTGATCATTTGCAGGCAGCTAACAACAAGAGGAGATGGCAAACTCATAGACATGAGGGTTCAATGGTTCCAAAGGTAGTCCAGAGAGGTCCCAGAGAGATCGCAGATACAATGGGCAAGTGGGGAAGGCAAGGAGCAGCTGAGGAGAGCAGCAGGAGATTCACAGAGAACAACAGGAGATCCAGGGCGTTGAGGGAACACAGGGAGAAGCTGAAAAACGCTGGAGCGAGGAGTTAGTCTTTACAATAATACTAAGAACACAATAGAGACCAGGAACACAACTACTATAAGGCAAACAATGCTCCAGTGTCGGAGTGAAGTCATCATCTGCCATTTATACTCCTGCAGCTCATCAGGGTAATGATCTGCAGGTGTGTATCCGTTGGTGCCATCTGGTGTAGAGAAGCTGTAGGAGAAAACCTTAGAACAGCGTTATTGAACTAAATTGCTCAAGGGGCCACAGTTACTGAAAGCCAAGAGCCCAGGGACCAGATATTCAGCAGTTACTGTCATTAAGTAAGGTTGTTTTATGGTTTAAAATCTAGTTTTATTTAAAATGAACCCATTGACGTGCCAAACTGAGTTCACCCGTAAGCCTGATTTGGCCCCCAGCCCACCTGTTGAATAGTCCTGCCCTACAACTACATATGCAACCCACAAAAGCCAAACCTTTTGATTGTTCAGCTTGTTTCATGGGTGTATTTTTCAACCAGCATGCTATCTGTCCATACTGACACTCATCCATCCATCCATCCATCCATCCATCCATCCATCCATCCATCCAT